GGAGCCCCCGAGTATGGCTGTCCTGCGCCAGCTGCGCCCCTCAGAGGGTGGCCTTACTTTGCAAGGGCACGTGTATTTGGATTGCGGGTGCAGGAGCCTCATCGTTTCCTCCAGCCTTGTCCGCCAGGGCAAGCGGGGCTGGTGGGTGGGTGTTTTCCGCCACAGCCGTGGCACCAAGGCCTGGAACACCTCTGCTGTCTGCATCTTCGGGATGGAGGAGGTGAAGGAGCAAGCCTGTGCGTCCACGCACTTCATCATGAACGGGAAGAGCTGTGTAAGTCTGGGCATTGTTTTGCTAAGCTTTCCTCCTGCACGCTGTTGTTGTCACTGTTGTTGTTGTGGCTGGTGTCGCTGTGCATGACTTGTGGGGTGTCCCTGACCTGAAGGCACATGAAGTTCGTGGGGAACTTCAGAGCTGTGCCAGGCTTTGCGCATGAGCCCTGGGTCCGTCAGCCCTAATGATTTCTCCAGCACTTTCTGTTTCTAAAAACCTGATCCCTTACCAGATCCTGGAGTGTCCTTCCCACCTACATCTCATGAAAGACATGTCTGAGGGAACACCTGAGGGCATCCTGGGTCAGGCCGGAGTCTCGGGCTCCTCACTCAGTGCGCCCTTTTCTGTCAAGGATTAGTCATACCTCATTCTATCTTCTGTACAGCCTAGATAAAGCATCTCCTACCTTATTCTGTGCATTCATATCTCATGTCATTGCAGCTACATCAGAAATGAAAAAAAGCCCATCAAATTGACCCCTGTGCACTGGGCTGTGTGCGTTGTTGTCCCCATTGCTCACTAGTTATTTGTGGTTGCTCGTTTGGGGTAGGTGTTTCCCAAACCTCCCAGGATTGGCCTTGCTCGAGAGGGCTCACAGCCACCCCCGCAAACCCATATGCACAGCAGACAGTAATAGGCGATACGTCTTTGTTGTTGCAGTGGTTACGTTTTCACAGGCAGTGGTATCCCATGGAGATCCCCTGGTCACCTACTTCTCTAACACTCTCTCTTCAGCTCCTTCCTCCTTTTGACGGTGAGCTGTGCACATGGAGGGCAGGGTGGGCAAGGCTACTGGCTTTGCTGTGGCCTTGGTAGCTAGTAAAGAAATGAACTAAAAATGAAATTCAATAAGCTAAAAATGTAATTCAGGAGAAAAAGGTGCTTTTGCAAGGCCTGTCCATGCTTTTAAGTCACACTCTGAAGTCTTTTCAGAGCTGTGGCAAAAGGAACAGCACTGAAAAGTGTCAGGGACAACCGCAGGGGATCAAGCAAGCCATCATAAAGCAAGCCCTGGCCTTTTGCAGCTTCCCCACCATCCAGCAACTTTGCAGCTTAACCCCTGAATCCTTGCTGTGTTACAATGGGAGTTTGTTGGAAACTCCTTGAAAGAAGTGCGGTAGATTTACTGTCGCACCTTGGCTTCCCAAATCTAGCCCATAGCAGAGCGCAGTGCCGAGATTCTTCCAAGTACAAACTACCGGAGGGCACGTGTGATTCAGTCTGCTCATCTCCCTACTGAGTTGCGAGACTATTGCCAGTGTTAGAGGACATAGTTATGAATGAGAACCCCATATGTGCGTGAAACAACTGCTGAAGTAAATAGTGACACTCACAACAGAGCTGGAGCCAATCCTTTCATTTCCAGTGCCAGTTTATAGCCTACTGCATGATTTCTGTGCTCTCACAAGACAAACTCGCTGAATGAATTTGAAGTCTCATCCTCATCCCAAAATACCTATTTGCTAGTTGGATTTTTAATTTGTATTCCTTGTTCGTAATTACTCATGGGGTTTCTTTGCGCGGTGCTTTCTGAGCCTGCAAAGCAAAAAAAAAAGAAGCCTCCCTGGGCAGCAGATCCTTTATAAACACTTTGCAAAGCCCCATGCTAGAAATTCCAGAAGAGTCTCATGGATTGCATAGAGTAAGATAGTGCACGTAAGGTGAGGCAGGTATTTCTGTCTGACTGGTGTTCCTCTCAATCCCCTGTCCCCATTGCTTCCCAGTGCCTGAATATGAAAAATCAATGATCCACATGTTTAAGGATTGATCTGATTCAGATAGACTCCTCTGACTCTAAAGCTACTTTCATGTCCCAAAAGGCTCGTCCCTCCTGGAAATGCAGGTTATATTTGGCTACAATGCTGAAGAATCCCAACTTTAAAAATTATTAAAAGGATTGTTTGCTTAACATTATATGTTGAGCAAACACATTATGTGATGTTATTAATCATGATATTTTGGCACAACAATAAGTACAGTTTACCACTGATAGGAAAGTGGTATTTTAGTATTTTGTGAGATAGCAGGACATCTGAGTGTTGTGTAGTAATATGACCTATAACATTACATGGCTAATTATGCTCCCTTTTTAAGCTAATTATATGAGCTTATGGTGTATAAACATAGCAATAAATGCATGTAGTTCAGCTTTAATATGTTTTTTATACTACAGAAGGTTAGGCTAGGCTATTGCAGAGTAAGTTTGGAGATGACAAGCCCATATGCTGCTGCTTCTGGGTTGTTTTAGTCCAGATCCTTCTGCTGTCTCTCACCAAATCATGGGAGTCCCTGCAAACATGGAACATGCTCTTCTTGGACTCAGAAGCATGTGGGCTTCAGAACTGGCAGGAAGATGGTGTGCAGCGTGTCCATCAATGCGCAGCTTGTAGAAGTGTGTGCAATAGCTAGCAGTGGCTCTGGCCAGAAAGGAGTGCCTCATACGTGGAGCCATCATGAGTACGTTGTAGTACAACGTGTAGGAATGGCAGCAAGCAACAATACTTAACGTGTGCTTTAAAGCCCAGTCTTTTAAAGACAGTGTTGGTACTGAGCAAATGAATGTGTTGCAGCGTTATGATTGCCTGGAGTGCAAGACATGTACGGTGTTTGTGGCAGGTGGACCATGCTGAATGTCAGCCTGACTTCTGCGTTCAGATGCCGTGTGTTGTAGGGTGCTGCGGGTCTCAGTCTTCTTTGCTGGGTACACTTGAACTCTGGAGCTCAGGCGTGATGTGAGGTACACTGATCATGATCACGGCCACAGACTGTCAGTTTATGTAGGAATGGAAAACACGGGTTTTTTTCCACTGCAGGAATACAATTTATAGTTAGAGTATACATTAGGGAGTAGTGGCAGTTTGTTTTCCTTCTGATCTTGTCATTCTTCAGATTTCTGTAATTACTCTGATTACCTTTAGGTAAGACATCCTCTTACCTGTCTGCACTCACACAGCTGCTTGTATTTGCACGGTATTGGCACTGTGCTTCTCAGTAGTACACTGCAAGGGGGACTTAGCCCGAGGTATTTGTGGTCCTGAATTCCCTGCTCTGCTACTGCTGCATGTTCTGCTCTGAACTCATTCCTGTAAGGTACTGAACTTTCTGGCCCTAACCCAGTAAAGCACTTAAGGGTATATTTAACATTAGGCATATAAGTAGTTCCATCATCTTCAGGGGAACTGCCCATGCCTTTAAAGTTAAACATGAACTTGAGTACTTCACTGGATTGGAACCAAATTGCTCCTCATCCTGTAGGAACTCATTGTAGGTGTGTAATCTCTTCAGCCTCACATTGCTACTTAGGCCAAAGTTGACATTTGCATTAAGTTTTAATGCTGCATTTGAGTCTGCCATTGAAAATTTTTAAGACCCTTGCTTACCAACTTTAACAAAAAGTAGGTGACTGCTACAGATTCTGTGGAATTGCTGCTTACGAGAACTAGCTAGTTCTGTTTTCGTTTTGTGCAGTAGTGTGCACCAAACGTTTTGTCCTGGTTGGATGTGTTTATTCTGGACATACATAATACTGGATTCCCAGAGGCATGATCCGTAACTAGCAAGAGGCAAGGGGTGTCTTAGATGAAACTACTCTGAAAACATTTTGCAGTTTTATATTCAGCTTGTTTTCCTCTGATCCAGACGTCTCTTAGTTTTGATTATATCCACTTGTATGCACTGTTGAGATGTATGCGTTAATGGACTCGCTAGCATAACCTGCATGTACGTAAGCGCATCTTCTTCACAATTTCCTTAGTTAATAAATGTGAATTTGCCAAATCTCATTCTCCGTTTCTTTTCAGAAACCTGACTGAGCACTAACAAACATTTTTGGTGGATCACAATTATGAAATCGAAGCTCCTTAGCCAGTACATAGGGGGAATGTTGGAATTTGTCACAAACTTGCTCCAGTAGCTAGTGAGCTTTAAGAAGGCCTTTCCTTCTGTTGTTCCATGGCTGAACAGGAGCTACTAGAATCTCAGACCTCTCCCAGAGATCCCAGGACCTTGTGGATCACAGACAAGCAGATGAGTAGGAGAAGTGCTCAAAGTAGAGAACATAAACAGGACAGAGTTGTAGGATGTTACCTAACCTCAACGACAAATCTGGAAATTAGTTTTGCCGTTAAAAAAAGTTGCCTGAGAAGAAAATGATTCTACAACTTTTCAGGGAGAAAATTCCAAAAAGTGTTAGGCATATACGTGTAAGACAGAGAAGTTGCTGTAGTTTATATTATGGTGTTTATTTTATGATGTGCAAAGGCTAAGTAGCTGTGATAGCTACTGAATGCTAAGCTGTCTTCTCTTTTCATCTCCTATTTAATGCAAGTAAAGATATATAACAGTCTGTTCTTCGAATTTTTGCATTTTTCAGTGGGTGATAAATATGTGGGTTGGTATATGCCCCTTAATTTGTCAAGCATAGTTTGGAATCCTAGGACAAATCTTAGCTGGTATAAGCTCTACTGAAAGGAGATTTTAAAGTCAACAGAGTCACATCAGTTTAATCACAGCCATTAATTTGCAGGAATCACATTTGAATTTGTGTGGTAACTCATTCCAAAATGATTCGTAGTCTTTTATTTAAGGAAAGAATTACAGACTTCTAATATCATTTGGTATCAAAATTGATCCTGTAATAATTTTCTAGTAATAAAGTCATCTCCTGTGTGTTACCAGACTGCTAGTATTTCATCTGATCTTTGACAGATTTCTAGAGTTAACGTTTCTAGAGTATTTCTGTCCAGTTACAATGAATTTTCAGTTCATCCCTGTTAGCTGTGGGAAATAAGCCATAGGAGACTTATAAACTCTCACATTGTCAGTAAGAAGAAGAGTTGCTTTTAGTCATCTGGCTTCACCAGGTGTTCTTAGCACAACCTTTTGAGAGCCTGGGGGCTCTTGAATGAAGGATTCTCTTCCTTGGGATCACAGAATTGTTCAGGTTGGAAGGAACCTCAGAGGAGGTCTCCAGTCCAGCCCCCTGCTCACAGCAGGGTCAG